CCTGGGGTAATTTTCTGATTGGAAAATTAAGAATTATAGTCAGAGGGGAGGACATGAGAATTTTTAAAGAACATATTCAATTTACTTTAGAAGCCGAACCTCTCTTATCATGTGACTTGTTTTAAATGTCTGTTAAACTATATTATCATAAGCATTGCTGCTACTGGGACAAACAGTGACAGTTGACCCAGGTCATTTGAATGTCCACTGTCTGTTTTAATTTGTATCATGAGGGACCTTAATTTGAATGTCAGTGATTGTTTCCGTTGCCAACTGCTTTCTTCCTTGCCAAGTAAGAGAGTTGTTGTGAACTCTTCAGTGATGCCTTCCCAGGATATTTGCAGCTGTGGTTGGGAAAAGTCATTTCATCCCCGACCTTTGCATGTCAGGTGCCGGGGTGCCGGGGTGCCGCCTGGCCTGTGCTCCGGCTCTCTCTCCCTCTGATCGCCATGGTGACCACAGGACACAGGCCAGGCCCCCGTGGCTCTTGCCTGCTGCCTGGGTTTTCGATCACTGTTCTTCCATCCTTCCCCTTTCGCCTCCCATCATTGTGCCTACGTATGCAAATTAACCGCCATCTTTGTTGGCAGTTAACCACCATCTTTGTTGGCAGTTAATTTGCATATCGCCCTGATTAGCCAATGGGAAGGGTAGCGGAGGTATGGTTAATTACCCTTTTTGTCTTTTATTAGATAGAACTAGAGATCCGGTGCATGAAAAATTTGTGCACTGGTTGCGGGGGTTGTTTCCTCAGCCTGGCCTGTCCCCTCTCACAGTCCAGGAGCTATCAGGGGATTCCTACTGATGGTTTAGGCCTGCTCTCCATGGGAAGCGGGCCTAAACCACAGTCTGGCCTCCCTCTGCGGGAGGTGACTGGGCTGATCAGGGGAAGGTGCCCCCATCACCCCGCTGCTGCTGCCACTGTCAGCCATGATGGCTCACAGCTGCCGGGGCTCTGGACTGCCTGAGCCCAAGGCCTTGCAGTCGTCGGGGTTCAAGGCTGCCTGAGCCCTGGGCCTCGCAGCTGCTGTGGCTTTGTCTGGACGTCTTCCAGACGTCCACCCTAATTAGCATTTACCCTTTTATTAGTATAGACTAGAGGCCCAGTGCATGAAAATTCGTGCACTTGGGGGGCGTGGTACCTCACCCTGGCCTGCGCCCTCTCATAGTCCAGGAGCCTTCAGGGGATGTCCTACTGATGGCTTAGGCCTACTCCCTGGAGCAGGCCTAAGCCACAGTTTGGCCTCCCTCTGCAGGAGATGACCGCATGGCCGATCAGGGGATGGCACCACCCCCATCACCCCAACCCATTACTGCTGTTGCTGCCAGCCTCCCTCTGTGGGAGGTGACCAGGTGGCCGATCAGGGGATGACAGTGCTGGCCAGCATGGCCCTGCCCCGCCCCCCCCCTAGTCCTCCTCTGCCAACTCTGGTTGCTGCTGCCTCCCCCGCTTCACTGTTCCCTCCCTCTGCCTGTTGGCACATGCCTTTGCTGGACTGCTGCCACCTGCTTGCTGGCCCCACCCCCTGCCAACTTGTCAGTTTGCATATTATGCTTTTATTATATAGGAGGATTCCTTATGCAATACCTTACCTCCCCATGATTGTTTTTACAATTGCTAATTTGTACTTCTTAATCCCTTCACCCTTTTCACCAATCCCCCCAGCCCTCCTCCCACCTGGCAACCATCAATTTGTTCTCTGCATCTATGAGTTTGTTTCTGTTTTGTTTGGTCATTTGTTTCTTAGATTCCACATGTAAGTGAAATCACATGGTATTTGTCTTTCTCTGACTTATTTCACTTAGCATAATGCCCTCTAGGTCCATTCATATTGTTGCAAGATTTCATTTTTTAAAAAATATTTTTTTAAATCTTCACCTGAGGATATGTTTATTGATTTTAGAGGAAGGGGAAGACAAAGGCAGAGAGAAAAACATCATTGTGAGAGCAAAACATTGATCGGTTGCCTCCTGTACTCACCCAGAATGGGGATCAAACCTGAAACTTAGGTATGTACCCTGACTGGGATTGAACCCATAACCTGTCAGTCTATGTCAGGGGTCCTCAAACTTTCCCCCAGTGCATGAATGTCGTGCACTGGGCCTCTAGTATATATATATTAGTGGCCCAGTGCACGAAATTCATGCATGGGAGGGACGGTGTCCCTCAGCCCGGCCTGCACCCTCTCCAATCTGAAACCCCTCAGAGGATGTTTGACTGCAGGCAGACATCCCTCTGGCCCCCAACTGCCACCCCTGCTGGCATGGCTACCCCCAACTGCCCCTCCCCCCTGCCAGCCTGATCTCCCCTAACTGCCTCTGCCTCGACCCCACCACCATGGCTTTGTCCAGAAGAATGCCCAGAAAGTCTTTCAGTCTAATTAGCATATTACTGTTTTATTAGTATAAATATACAGTCCCCCAAAATGTATACACACTTTGAGTAATTATTAATTCCAATGTTTATTTATCTTTAGATTTAACCCATTGGAATTAATAATTATTCAAAGTGTGTATACATTTTTTTTCTAAAATGTTTTTAAAATTGATTTCAGAGAGGAAGGGAGAGGGAGAGGGAGAGAAACATCAATGATGAGAGAGAATTGGCTGCCTCCTGCATGCCCCCTGCTGGGGATCAAGCCCAAAACCAGGGCATGTGCCCTGATTGGGAATTGAATCATGACCTCCTGGCTCTTGGGTCAACACTCAACTGCTGAGAAACACCAACTGTGCTGGGAACATTTTTTGGGACACCCTGTATATACAGCGGTGGGAAAAAGTACCCCAAAGGTTAATAATCTACACTAATAAAAGAGAAATATGTAAATTGACCATCATGTTGCAACGCCCACCAGCCAATCAGTATGCAAATTAGTGGGACAAATATGGTGGCGGCCAGGGAGCCAGCCGGAGCGGGCAGGAGGCTTGAGTTGCCCCTGATGATGGAGGAAGCCAAGCCTCCCACCCATCCTGGCCAACTGCTGAAGGAGGGGCCTGTGGACAGTGACAACGGAGTCAGCCTGAGTGTGGGAGGCTTGGGTCGCCCTGGGGCAGCCGCCGAGGGAGGGGCCTGCAAACAGCCCTCAGACCCTCACCCAGGCTGGCCATGCCCCCCCAGTGGGGGCCCTCACCCCATGGCGTGCCCAGCCTGCAAACTGCCCCAGCCCCTCGCCCAGGCCAGCACTGTCCCCAGTGGGGACCCCCACCCCAATGGGGGCATGGACAGCCTGTAAACCACCACAGGCCCCTTGCCCAGGCCACCCTGCCCCCCAAGGGAACCCCCACCCTGATCCGGGATACCCTTCAGGGCAAATCAGCCAGCCTCCACCCATGCACCAGGACTCTATAATAAAAGGGTAATATGCTAATTAGACTGGGAGACCTTCTCGACGTTCTTCTGGACAAAACCATGGTGGCAGGGCTGAGGTAGAGGTGGTTAGAGGCCAAGAGGGGAGGGCAGTTGTGGGTGATCAGGCCAGTGCGGGGGGCATTGTGGGTGATAAAGCTGTCAGCGGGGACAGTTGGGGGTGAGCAGGCTGGCAGGGGGAGCCTGTTGGGGGCAAGCAGGTCAGCATGCAGAGTGGTTAGGGGCAATCAGGCAGGCAGAGAGTTGAGTGGTAGGAGCCAGCAGTCCCGGATTGTGAGAGGGATGTCTCACTGCCGGTTTAGGTGTGATCGGGCCTAAACCGGCAGTTGGACATCCCTTGAGGGGTCCCAGATTGGAGAGGGTGCAGGCCAGGCTGAGGGACACGCCCATGCATGAATTTCATGCACTGGGCCAGTAGTAATAAATAATACAATAATAAATAAATAAATAAATAATAATACAAGAAAAAGTCTGTTTTGCATACCCATAACTGTAAATCTACTTTTGCCCACCCCTGAGTGTGTATCACATATTTTTTTAAAACTTTATTGTTGGCACATTACAGATATCTGCACTTCCCCCACTCTGCCCACCTCCACCAGCCCAGCCCCTCCCCTCGGCCATCAGCACACTGTTGACTGTGTCTGCTAGGCATTGTTCCTCTGGTGAATCCCTTCAATCAATTGCCTACTGATGGACACTTGGAATGTGTCAATGAACAGGGGTGCATACATCTTCTCCAATTATTATTTTGGATTTCCTCAGATAAATACCTGGAGGTGGAAATCCTGGGTCATGGAGTAGGTCTGCTTTTAATTTTTTGAGGAATCTCCACACTGCTTCCCACGGTGACTGCACCAATTTATAATTCCAGCAACAGCAGTCTTTTCTCCACATCCTCGCCAACAACTTGTTTGTTGATTTATTGATGAGAGCTGTTCTGGCAGGTGTGAGGTGGCATCTCATTGTGGTTTTAATTTGCATCTCTCTGATGATCAGTGACATTGAGCACCTTTTCGTATGTCTGTATGTCCTCTCTGGAGAAGAGTCTATTCAGGTCCTCTGTTTTTTACTTGGATTATTTGGTGTTGGGTGTTGAGCTTTCTGTGATCTTTATTAATAACTAGAGGCCTGGTGCATGAAAATTCATGCACTGGAGGGGGGTCCCTCAGCCTGTCCTGCCCTCTCTCACAGTCCGGGAGCCCTCAGGGTGGGAGACCAGGCGATCAGGGGAAGGTGATGCCCCATCACACCTCTGTTGCTGCCACTGCCGGCAGCGCAAGCCTCGGGTGGCCCTGGTGACCTGAGCCTCTGGCGGCCCTGGGTGGCTGGGGGGACTGGGGGACTCCGGAGGCAGGCAGGTTCAGCCTGCCATGCGCCTGCCGCCCTGGCAGGGCTGAGGGGACTGTGCGCCGCCATCTTGTGGCTGTGGGTGCCGCCATCTTTGAGGGCGGGGCAGTTGATTAGCATATTTCCTCCTTATTGCCTGTGGGCGCTGCCATTTTTGCAGCCTGCTGCTCAGTCATTTGGTCGTCCCTCACTAACCCCCTGCCGGCCTGGTCGCCTCGTGCAGCCTGTTTGATTGTCTGTTCGGTTGTTTCGGTTGCAACGGTCACTTAGGCTTTTATATATATAGATTTTGGACATTAACTCTTGTTGAATATGTCATTTGCAAACATCTTCTTTGATGCAGTAGGTTGCTTTTTTGTTTTGATTTCACAATACTTTACTTTGAGGTGCAAAAGCTTTTCAGTTTGATGTATTCCCACTGGTTTATTTTTGCTTTTGTTGTCTTTGCCTGAGAAGACACATCCACAGAGCCATGTCAGAGAGTGTACTGCCTGGCTTTCTTGTGGAGTTTGATGGTTTCAGGTCTTACATTTAAGTCTTTCACTTTGAGTTTATTTTTGTGTAGGCATGAGAGAGTGGTCTAATTCCCGCTGGGTCTGTCTTCCCAGTTTCCCCAGTGCCCCTCAGACCTGAACGTATTCATCTAATGGACTAGTGAAGGTTGGGTGAGGGGCATCACCCCCATCTGACAGATGGGAAACGGATGCACAGAGAAGCCCAATGTCTTGCCCAAGATCACCTTGCCAGCAGTAAAGACTATGAGATGCTTCCCATTTGGGCCTCTCGGGCTCTTGAAAGTTAGATCGAGTAGAGACAGATCTCTGACCCTCCCACTATTCAGGGAGGTGGGTGGTTGCTGAGGAGGGAGCTGGAGGCAAAGGGCTCTGGGAGAGAGGGAGCCATGGGAAGCTGTACTCAGGAGTGCAATTAACCAGAGTCGTACCTTTGTCACTGTGGCAAAAGCAGAAGCAGAGAGCAGGAAGCCAACGATGTCCATGCTTCATGTGGTGTCAGGCCATGCCCACTACGTAGAAATAAAGCCAGAGGTGGTCCATTTTAAGGCAAGACATGTAACCTGTAATGGAAAATTACTGCATGGCGGCCTGTGGATGGGACAAAGCTCAAGCACCTGGAAAGCCACCCCCTCCCCCTGGAAAACAGGATGCTAGAAAGAGCTCACCAGCAGGGAGCATGGGTCATGATGAATGAGGAAGTGGGGAAAGACGTATACTGTCAGAAGGCACGCACCCAGGAGGCCTCCGCCACAGGGACAGGGGGGTGGAGACAAGCCCAAGCCCACAGCCACTTTCTAAATAGCCTGGTAGGAAACTTAGGTGATATCTGGGAAGAGTATATGCCTCATAGTGCTCAGCCAATGAGGAACCGGGGAGGGAGTCAGACGCTGGGGAAAAACTCGCTGTAAACACCGGGGTGTGCCTGCCCACCAGACACCTGGTCTTGCAAGACCACCAATAAAAGTTTCACGTTCGCCAGCTGGGTCTCACAAGCTGGATCCGCCAAGCAGTGGGGCAGTGTGTGTGTGTGTGAGTGGTATGTGTGGGGTGTGTATGGTGTGTGTGTGTGTGGTGTGGTGTGGTGTGGTGTTGTGTGTGTTGTGTGTGGTGTGTGAGGTGTGTGTGGTGTGTGAGGTGTGTGTGTGTGTGAGGTGTGTGTGGTGTGTGTGGTGTGTGTGGTGTGTGAGAGGTGTGTGTGGTGTGAGTGCTGTGTGTGTTGTGTGTTGCATGTGTGTGTGGTGTGTGTGTGTGAGGTGTGAGTGGTGTGTGTGGTATGAGTGCTTGGTGTGTGGTGTGTGTGGTATGTGAGTGGTGTGTGTGTGGTGTGAGTGGTGTGTGTGGTGTGTGTGTGTGAGTGGTATGTGTGGTGTGTGTATGGTGTGTGGTGTGTGTGATGTCATGTGTGGTGTGAGTGTGGTGTGTGTGGTGTGTGTGGTGTGTGTGGTGTGCGGTGTGTGGTATGTGTGGTGTGTGTGTAGTGTGTGTGGTTTTTGTGTGTGTGCGGTGTGTGCGGTGTGTGGTGTGTGTGTATGTGATGTGGTGTGTGTGTGTGGGTGTATGTGTGAGGTGTGTGGTGTGTGTGGTGTGTGTGGTATGAGTGCTTTGTGTGTGGTGAGTGGCGTGTGTGTGGTGTGAGTGGCGTGTGTGTGGTGTGCGGTGTGTGATGTGTGTGGTGTGGTGTGTGTATGGCGTGTGGTGTGTGTGGTGTGTGATGTCATGTGTGTGGTGTGTGTGTGTTGTGTGTGTGTGTGGTGTTTGTGTGTGTGTTGTGTGGTGTTTGTGTGTGTGTGGTGTGTGTGGTGTGTGTATGTGTGTGGTGTTTGTGTGTGTTGTGTGTTGTGTGTGTGTGCGGTGTGTGTGGTATGTGTATGTGTGTGGTGTGTGTGCTGTGTGTGTTTATGGTATGTGTGTGTTGTGTTGTGTATGTGGTGCGTGTGTGGTTTGTGTGGTGTGTTTGTGGTGTTTGTGTGTGTGGTGTGTTTGTGTGTGATGTGTGTGGTTTGTGTGTGTAGTGTGTGTGTGTGGTGTGTTTGTATGTGTGTGTGTTGTGTGTGTGGTGTGCAGTGTGTGTGTGGTGTGTGTGTGTGTGGTGTGTGTGTGGTGTGTGTGGTGTTTGTGTTGTGTGTGTGGTGTGTGTGTATTGTGTGTGGGGTGTATGTGTGTGTGTGTGTGTGTGTGTGTGTGTGTGACACCTACAATTGGGCAGGTCCTGGCGGGGCTCTCAGAGAAGGTGGGGCGTTCTACTCTGAGCAGGCACTCAGCTCATTTCCTCTGAGCCCTGTTGCTGGTAGCAATGGGAAGGTCACCTGCAGGGGTAGCTGGGAGGAGGCTGATGGGAAGGTCACCTGCAGGGCATAGCTGGGAGGAGGCTGATGGGAAGGTCACCTGCAGGAGTAGCTGGGAGGAGGCTGATGGGAAGGTCACCTGCAGGGCATAGCTGGGAGGAGGCTGATGGGAAGGTCACCTGCAGGAGTAGCTGGGAGGAGGCTGATGGGAAGGTCACCTGCAGGGCATAGCTGGGAGGAGGCTGATGGGAAGGTCACCTGCAGGGGTAGCTGGGAGGAGGCTGATGCTCTGGTGAGCTCAGGGCCGGGCTCCAGGTGGACCTGGTGGAGGTTGGGTTGCCTGCACCGGCTGAGGCAGAACTGGGGTGGGCGGAGGTCCAGGCTGGGCCTCCAGGCGGCTCTGGTGCAGCTGCAGGTTGAGAAGCCTTGGGCTGTGGAACCAGACCATCGCGGAGTCTGGGCTGCCTGTAGCGACTTGAGCCAGTGAAGCAGAGGCAGGGAGAACAGCAGGTCGCCCACAGGAAGCTGCTCTGCCTCCCCCACCCCACCCCCCGCTGCTGTATTGGGTAGAAGGACAAAAACCAGGGGGAAGTAGACAAATGGGCAGTTTACAGGTAATGGGGCTGGAGCTTTGCAAAGGCCTATGGGTAAGCAAAGGTCTGCGGGTAAGCAAAGGCCTGTGGGTAAGCAAAGGCCTGCGGGTAAGCAAAGGCTGGGGCCTTGACGGGCTGGGGGCTCTGGTCTCTGCAATGAGGCTGCTCGTCTTTCATGATCACAGGCAGCTCCTGGTGGGGGGATGGGCCGCATTCCCAGGTGAGCCCCGGCTCCCAGCAGGTGAGCATGCGCCTCTGCAACCAGAACAGCAATCCCGGCCACAGAGCAGGACTCGCCTTCCTCACAGTCGTTCCGTTTCTGCCCCTGTCAATCCTCTCTGCACACTGGCAGCAACCCTGGGCCCATAATTGGGTACCCCCCTCCCCCAGGCTGGTGGAAGGTGCCCGGCTGGCTGGGCTGGGCCGGTCCAGGTGCTGCTGGACTGCAGTGAGGACAGGACCCTGCGTCTCCGTTTTCCATGATCTCCCAGCAGCTAGGTGCTCCGTAAGGTTTGCTGCATCAGTGAGAGGAAGAAGGAGCCATCATCCAGGCGTTTGCCTTCTCTCCAGATCCACTTCCTGCCTTTCTGGGCCCTGGTTTGTGACCTAGGGAACTACATTTCCCAGGTTCCCTTGCCTCTAAGCCTTGGAGCCAATCAGAGCCACGGGAGATGGGAGCCTAGGAGGAGGGGGAAGCCGGGATATTTCTTCCCTCTCCTGCTATCAGCCTGGGCTCCTCTTGGTGCCTGGTGATCCCTCCCTCCAGGGCCGTGGCTCCAGCTCCGTCTGCTGCCTGAGCCTCAGCCTGGAACCCTCAGCCCCCAGAGGGGCAGCTTCCTGCGGCTGCTAATCTCTGGGTGTCCTACCTCTTCTGTCCCCTGTGCAAACTGAAAGGCGGCCGGGAGGAGGAGTCTGGCCGCTGGGCTCTGGGATCCCTCCGCGCCCGC